GAAGACTTAGCGCGACTGTGCAGCTGAGTTCGCGGACTTGGTGGTGGAGCAGCACGTGATCGAGCACAGCGACGCGGGGGACACCCCTCTACTGCCCGGCCTGTGAGCTCCCCGTGAGGGTGCGGAGGGACCGCATCCTGGGGCACCTGTCTTCGGGCGGGCACTGCCGGAACCGCAGACTCGGCCGGCAGCTCGGCGTCCGCTCGCCGCCGGAGCTCGTGTGTCAGCCTGCGTGGGCCGACCGGCCGACACCCGCTGTGGGCGAGCGGAGGGCGCGCTGTTACTTGCGAGTGCTCTGCGCGGCAGGGGATTTCCATCTCGCGGGTGATGGTGTGTTAGCTTAGTGTAACCCGCGAGGGGTCTTAACTTGGGGAGGAAGCCCCGTGAAGTCTTGGCGTTGTGTGCTTTGTGCTCGTCCTCCGCTTTGTTCCGTCCTAGAGGGAGCAGTTCCCCGCTGTTAGCGTCTGTGGACTGATTCGGGGCCTGGGGACACTGGGTCTTGCCACGTTTTGTTGTGTGACAGGTCTGTCATCTTCTGTCTAGTTCGGCAGCCTGGGAGCTTGCTGCAGCCGGCCTTGCCTCCCACCCCAGTCACCCATCTCTGCGTCCCCAGCCTCCACTCGTGCTCCCGGCCAGCCCCGCCAGCGCCTGCACGGGGGTGAGGGGGGCGCCCTCTCCTCCCACTGGCCACACGTCTCTGGGCCCTGGCCACCCCAGTGCTCTCAGCTTGACTACCAGTGATGTGCCTACACAGGTGGACCAAACGGTGTGTACTTCCACCTGCCAACCTTGCCGCGTTTCCAGCCCTCCAGATGGAAAGGCCATCAGTCCCCTCAAAGCAGGCCAACCAAACACTTGTTTCAAGAGTCCTCCGACGCCTTGGTGTCCAGAGGTGGCATGAGGCAGCTTCCTGATACCGGAGCAGGGGCCCCTGGCCGCCTTGGCCAGGCTGTCTTTGGGGATGGGTTTGGGAGCGAAAAGCTGTTTCAGAGCTTGATGGGTGAGGACAGCTGCTGCTTGCTTTACGTCATCGAGGACCAGCTGTGTGATGTGGAGCACGCCTTCAGAGCCGAGTTTGGCCAACACACAGGTGGTTCGCAAACAGAATGCAGACGTGGTCCTCAGTGACCAGCGGTAGGATTTCAGTGAGTGTACAGATGTCACTACCCGCCGTGGGTGGGCACTGCTCTAGGGGCTGGAGGCATGGCCCCAAATGCGGCAGAGCACCACTCTGTGCTGCTGAGTTTGGTGGAGAGACAGACAAGTAGATCCCAGTGCCCGTCAGAGGCACTGAGTCCCGCGGAAGAAGTCAGGCTGCAGGAGGGGGAGGGTGGGGAGCTATTGTTTCAGATGACGTGGACATCTGAGGAGGGGCCGGTTGAGCAGGGACCCAGACGGGGGAGTGAACGGCCATGCAGTGTCCAGGGGCAAGCACTCTGAAGAGAGGACACCGAGTCCTCTTAAGGCCTTGAAGTAGGAGCCTGTGTGTCTTGTTTGAGGGTGAGCAGCACGACAGAGCCGGCAGGACTGTACTGAACCTGGGTGAGGAGTGGACAGTGAGCTCAAGAGTGGTGGCCAGAGTCCCGGCCTGGAGCCTGGACGGCCACGCAGACTTTGGATTCTGTTCGGATTGCCTTGGGAAGCCCCTGGTGGCGTGAGCAGAGGCCGGCTGATCCAACTCAAGAGTTAGAAGCATCGCTCCAGCAGGTCCTTTCACTGCCGGGGACAGCACACTCTGTGGCCAATGGTGGAAGGAGGCAGGGAGACTAGGGTGGGCCTGGTCACACAGGTCAGGCCTGGACCAGAGTGGCAGCGTGGTCAGATTTGTGATGTTCTGAAAGTAGAGCCTTTGACAGCGGCTGAGTTCCTGGGAGCTGGCTTCCTTCCTGACCCACACGGCTGAGGAGGGCGTTACCTGCCCTGACTGGGGGCAGCAGCGTCGCTGCAGCTGAGCGGAACGCTGGGAGGCGGCACTCCAGCTTGCTGCCAGCTCAGTTTGGCATGATCGCAGCAGGGTAGCCAGTCTTGCCAGGCAGCACCCAGCCAGTGGTGTCAGGTGCCACCCAGCCAGCTCAGCCACAGCCAGGGTGGCACGACTCAGCGTTCACTGTCATGGGGCTGGCGCTGGGTGTAACTGGGGAAGAGACAGGAAGGCCATTGCCCCCGTGAGCCAGGGTCTGAGAGGAGCCGGCTCCCAGAGGCAGCAGCCAGTGCCTCTGCACGGAGACCGCAGTGTGGGGAGCATCAGGACGCAGAGAAGACAGGCTGGGGGTTGAAGTCAAGTGGCTGGCGTGCCCCCTGCTGCCCCGCTGTGCCCCGCAGACGTGGCCGTCAGCAGGCTCACAATTCACAAACTGCAGAAGGCTTCAAGGGACGCGGCCCAGAGCCCAGCTGGCCACACACGCTTCTCAGCCAATGGGCTGCAGGGTGGGGCCTGCCCGGTGTCCATCCGTGTCTTCCAGGCGCCTTGACCCGGCTGTCCAGTTCTTGCTCGGGAAGGTCCGTGATGCCGAGCCCTGGGGAGGGTCCATCGAGTCCCCGCCGTCAGCAGTCAGTACCCTGCAGCCCCCCCGGATCTCCTGAGGAAGTCAGGCGGGGGCTCTGCGGTGGGAGCCCCGGCCGCCCTCCGGGGCTGAGCGCCCGCGGCCACACCTCAGCCGCCAGCACCGGTTCCCGTGTGGGACTCTCCCCGCTGCTGCCGTGCACAGTGCGGACGTGGCCGGTGTGCTGCTGGGTGGACGCGCCCCCCACCGTGTGCGCCCTGGGGAGCGCCCTCTGCCCAGGGGAGAGCCTGCTTTGCCGGCTCCCCACTGCCTGGGCACTTCTCCCAGGCCGCTCCGGTGCCTGCCCTGCTCTTCCCCACAGCTCTTCCACCATCATAGTCCACGTCCTCTCGGCCCCTCGTGTGGCCGGTGCCCCGGGGCCGTGGCAGGGACTGCTCTGTCCTCGTGCTGCCCCTTTGGTGCCCAGAGCGCGACCCCACGAGTGTGGGGACAGGAGGGGCCGGCGGGTGCCTGGCCAGACTCTGCGCTGGCCGGCAGCCCCGCCTTCTGGTCACCGTCGGGGGTGGTTTGAGCTTTTCCCTCTTTTAACGACCGGTTTCCGTAGTTGCTCGGCCGTGCCTTGGGCTGACAGGGCAGCGTGCTCCCTTCAGGCCCTGCTGGTGTGAGCTCCCGGTGGACAGACCCCGCCATGAGGAAACAACGCGTCCTGCCGGCAGGGGGTGTTGGGGGAGACAGCCGCCAGCGGCCCGGATGGCTTCCCCCGGGAGCCGCAGCCCTTCCTGCATTCTGGCCTGGCGGCTCCAGCCCTGGGTCGTGATGCTAAGAAAGTGATCGGGGTGGCAGTGGACGTGTTTGTCCACAGTTCTCGTGATGCAGGGCCTGGGGCCGTCTGAAGGCCAGCCCCCAGGAGCAGACGAAGGCCGTGTCCCCAGAGTGGGCAGTCCATGGGACAGGACACTTAGGAGGGCTTCTCCAGACACAGGAAGGCACTTTTGAGGCAGCATTAGGCAGGGAAAGTGCAGAGAACAAAACTGAATAAACAACATAAGCCCAGCAACGCAAAAAATGCATCACCGGTGTGTATAAACGTGTCTGTACGTGCACGTGCACTCACACACGTGCACACACACTCACACACATGCGCGCTCGCTGAGGAAGAGGCTGGAAACAGACCTCCCAGGGGTCGACAGCGTCCTTCTCTGCACGGCAGGATTGTGAGGGCTTCTGGCTTCCCCTTCGTACCCGTCTGTGGGTTCGGAACCGTTCAGGTCACAGGAGGAGCCCCTCCCCGTTGCGTAAGGATGGTACACAGAACCCAAGTCCCTTGAACCCTCTACTTCTCTGGGAGAGGAGGGATTAGTGGCGTTGGAAACACTTCAGCAAACTAGACAGAGAGGCAGCGCCGGACCCTCCTCGCTGCCGAGGCCCGCGGGGCGCTCAGGCCGCGTGCGGTGGGGCGAGTGGGAGCGCGCCCTCGGGGGCCCTGGCCCCCCACGTCAGCTGAGTTTCGGCAGCAGTTCTGTCTGGATCTGTGGGGCTGCCGCTTCTGTGAGTGCTTTAGAGGAGCTGAACGTCTTTTGTCTAAAAGGGAGCGCCCTATCAGATCGTTCGTCCCAACTGGTTTATCCCCGGAGGACGCTGCGGCCTGGATTCGTGTGCCTCCCGCGGCTCCCTGCCCTTCTGGCCCCAGGGTGCGAGTCTGGCACCGGCCGTGCTCGGCCCCAGGCAGCTTTTGAATTGCTTCTGGAGCCCCTTGGTTGATCGTGTCGGCATCTTTACCGCCCTTGGGGCTTGTGCCCCATGGTGGGAGACTGTGTGATGTCGGGCCTCACGAGCTCCCGCCCCCGGGGCAGGGGCGCGACTCAGCCCTGGGCAGCTCCGTCCAGGCTGAGCCCAGGACGGCCCCACGTTTGTGCTTAGGGCACACCTTCTGACTGACTGCTTCACCAGCCCTAACTCCCTTGTTTCTCTCAGTTTTCTGTTTGCTGAAAGGTTGTACACCATCGTTGTAAAGGAGATTACTTGCCCTTTTGGGCATCAGAAGTTTCACGGTTTGCTGGACTGACTGACTGACGGCACCTGGATGCCCTCCCGCCTAGACACGCTTCCTTACAAGACACAGGCGCTGCTGTGATCACTGCGACATCTCCCGGGGGAGGCCTTGTCACTAGACATCAGCCGGCACTGCAGGAAAAGCTGTGATCAGAGACTGGAGGAACCCCCGGCCCCCAGTCCTGGCCCCCAGCCCGGCCCAGCCAGTTGCGATGGTGAAAGATCTGATGCCAGTGGTCAGAGACGTGCACGCGGTGGGAGCCGCTCGAGGGCGGCACCTCGTGCACAGTAGGTGCTCAGTAAATATTTTAACTGTTCTTTTAAGAACTTTTAAACTTACCTGGTGAGAGCAAAGTTTTCTATATTTTGATGATTGAGATTCACTCTTCGGTCCTAATAAGGTTTTATGAAATTGTCTTCCCAAAGGTGACTTTTTTCTTTCCATGTTGGTTGTTACCTCAAAGACGCCCTGGCCCTTCGGCCGTCACACACACAGCTTATGCTGCGTCACAGTGCGCCGTACGGAGCACGGGGTGCAGGCAGCCCTGGAAGGTTGGGTGCCATGCCCCCCGGTACGAGCTGTCACCCAGGGGCTGTCCACCCCAACCGCTTGCAGTTTCACGTCTCTCGTGGCTCCCCAGGTGCACGGCTCTCAGCACCTTGCGGGTGGGTAATCAGAGCCCCCGGGCATCTCCGGCCAGGGCTCGGCCCTCCCCCTGGACGCCCAGACCCCGGCCGGGCGCTGCCGGGAGGCGTACCGACAGCTCCTCAGACACTTTCTCAGGACCCTTCGAGGTGGGTGACGTCCTCAGGAGGAACTTTGGACGTGCTGACTTTTAGCAAGAATATTTGTTTTCAGTTACAGTGCAGTAGATAAGCCGTTTGCAAAGTGAAGGCTCTACAGATGTCGGGTTCAGTCTCAGAGCTGTTTTGAATAATCATTTGCATTGCGTGTATCTGACGTACCGCCCGTCGGTGTCCCTTTGGGGTTATGTGAATGCACCACGTTTAGCTCTGAGGCGTGGAATGTGACGGTTACTTCCACGTCCCTGGGATCTGGTGAATTTCACATGTCCCTGGGGAAAGTGGCCCGGTTGTGGGGGAGGCTGGCTATGTCAGACAGGCAGTGGGCCTCTGCGCTGCACCCCTCGGGACCTTTCCATGTCCCCCGTCCCCAGCCAGACCAGAGGGTGTTGTGGTCCCGGCTGGGCCTGGGCTTCTGCCCTGACTCTGTAAGCACACCCTGTGCGGGGGAAGACGCTCCCGCGGCCACTGGAGAGCAGCTGCTCGGGGCACTGCAGGTGGCCGTGGCCGCACGGCGGGCCTGGTGGAGCCGGTCAGCCGGGGCCCAGCGGCACAGAGCAGCCGAGGCCTGTGTGGTCGAGGCAGAGCACTGGGAGGCACAGTGCGCTTGAACCCTGCCTGAGACCCGCCGGCCTGTGCACGTGCCCCGGTGCTGAGAGAGCTGGCACCTGTGGTGACATTATCTTCACCAGAGACCAAGAAGAGGACCCTTGGGAGGACGAGTATGTTCCGTTAGTGGGGTAACGGATTGTAGGGCGATGTCAGAGCCGGGAGACTGAGCTCAGGGTTGCTGCTCCATTTCCTTCTGGCCAGGGTCTCCTCCGTGGGGTCCTGGGAAGAACGCAGGTCAGGAATCGGACCGTGTAAATGGGGGGAGCCTGCAGCCCCAGCTCTGAGCACCTCTTCTGTGTGGGGAGCAGAGTGAGGGCGGCCTCAGCTCCCTGGACCGCGGGCTGCCACTTCCCGGGGGCCTCAGGGGCAGTTACAGCTGTGTTTAAAAACCAAACAACTTTCTCGAAGAATCTGAGTTGTGCAGTGTATTATGCAGCACTCTTCCTAGGAAGTGATAAGTAATTGTATATGATGTTAAAGAATCTTTTTTCTTGCCTGACTGTAGACTTTCTCTGAATGTCATTGGGCAGCCAGGGAGTGGCCTCGCAGGGGCACGTCCCCAGAGCCAGCGCCTTGCAGAGTGGTAGAGCTGCTGCGAGGCGGGTCATCTTCCCAGACTTCCGTGCCAGCCCGCGGGAGGCGTTTTCATTTATTTCAAAGTGATCGTGTGTGTTTCTTGTATTCTACTTTAAAAAAACGTTTTTAACGAAGGCGCTAAAGCCGCCTCGTGCTGGGAGCGCATGGCTGCCGCGCTCACCCCTCGAGGTCCCTGTCTTCGTGCTGTGCGTGGCGGCGGCGTCTTAATAAAACTCCCAGGTCCGC